TTTGGCTGGAAGGGGATTTGGGTTTGGGACTGCCAGAGCTTTTCATGGAAGACTCTTTAGTAGTTCTGTGTGAAGAAGACACATTGTAGGTAGAAACAGCATGCATACATGTCAGAACAATGTCATTAACTAGGCAGCATTTTAACTACCAAAGAGCATGTCACAGTGAGTTGAATGCAACCTATGACATGAAACTAGAACAGGTCTAGTTACAAAAGTGAACAATATGAGTTGGCTTCAGAAAATTTGTGGAAAATTTCCATTATCTTTTTATTTAATTTTCCCATGAACCTTTTAGAGCCCCCCCTTGTGTATGTCATTTATGATTGTAGCACTGGGATAGGAAATGACATTTCTTGAGCCAGGCACAACATGGGGGCTCATTCAGTGATTTGTCCTCACTACTTGCTGGCTTGTTCATCTGTGTGCTGAGCAGTGTTCCTGTCCTCCTTTCTCCTCTGTTTCTGGGTTGTCATTGTTTCAGGGCAGTGAGCACACCCTGCTTTCCTTGTAAGCCTGGCACCTATGTCTTGGTGCACCCCTGGCATCTATGGGGTTCTTTGAGGTGGGAGCATTGGTGACTTTGTGCTATGGGTGGGTTTAGCTGTTACCAACCTGGCTTCTCAGTAACAACCAGTTTGGCGGGAACCCCTTATAATCGACAGCCACAAGTTTCACTGTAGAAAAGGGGGCGATTAAAAAAAAAAAGAAGAAGAAAAGGGCATGTTAGGTAAGAAGGAGGGGGAGGCCTGGGGCTGTGATGGAGAACTAGGTCAGGGAATAGAACTATATAAACTGAGTAAGCAGTTTAAAAATAATAATTTACAAAGAAATGCCCCAGAGGGAGGTATTGAGCAAGTATTGTCGAGCTTCTGTAACCTCTGGTCCCACCTTCCCTTGTCTCCACTGAAGCGGAGAGCTCCATCGAACAAGATCTGTGCTCTGGGATGGATGTGCTGGGGGCTCCAGCTTTGCTGCTACCTGCTGGACTGCTTCTCTCCAGCCTCTTGTTGACCATCCTCTCTGTTGAAATTATTACATCTCTATGGAGTTCCATTTCCTCAAGTAGCCTGAACCCAGCAGCAGGGGCTGGAAGAGGAGGGATTTTTATTTGTTTGTTTTATTTATTGCTATTTTAGATTCATACACTTGTTTTTCATTTCAGGGTTGTGTGAGCCAGATGGCGTGAGGGCTCAACTGTTCTGTCTAGCCAATGCTTCGGGTCTTTTGGAAGGAAAGATGAATCTCAATGGTCTGGGAGGAAAATCCCTAATTGGGGATGAGACAGAAACTGGAGAAGGCTTCCCAGGTGCATATCATTAGGGAAAGTGTACTCAGGCTGTGAAGACTCAGAACATCTTTAACACTCACATAAACACATCAGGGAAACCTGAGTTCCAAACCAAAACTCACAGAGATGATTTTAGAGTAACAGGCTTATTATCTGAGTGACAACTCTGTGCAAAGGGAGAATGTCAAGATAAATAGAACCTTGGCTCTTCCCTTCATAATTCCAGGGACATGGCTTCTTGTCACACATTAATGTCTGCAATGTGGCTGTAAGGGAGGTATATATGCTGCTAAGAGAGGATTGGTGTGGCGCTATAGGATAAGCACTGGACTGCTAACTACAAGGTTGGCAGTTCAAACCCACCAGCCCCTCCTTGGAAACTCTATACAGGGTCACTATAAGTCAGAACCAACTCAGCAGCACTTAACCACAAAACAAGAGGGTGGAAGGGACAAATTAATTCCCACTACGAGAATCTTAGGTGAGCATCCAGATCTGCTTAAGAGTTTATTTCCCATTGGCTAACCAGTTAATCCCTCTCTGCTGAAAACTGGGGACTCAGTAATCTGCCATAGGCCATGGGTGTGTTTTTTGGAAAACTTATGTGCAGAGCATTTGGGATCCTGGCTTTGCTGGCAGCTTGTTGACAGAAAAACTGGGGAGCAGAAAGATTTTGTTCTATGGGATCCCTGTTTTATTCTCAGAGACAGCAAAGTTTCAAAACTCTTTTACATCAACAGGCCAGTATCCTTGTGGGGCAAGGAGGAACCAGAATACATGCTCCAATTTTATAGATGAAGAAGTTGACAACCATAGTTGAAATCAGTGGCAAAAACGCACAGGCAAAACCAAGAATCTGAACTCCTTTAGAGAATGAAAAACATATTATCTAAGAAAAAGTATATTGAGATCATGCAGAAGGAAAAATCAAATGTGAGAATAAAACATAATATTATAGAATATCCAAGTTGCATTAGTATTATGCTTCACATTTCGAGAGAGGGGAAGGAAACTTCCCCTTCAACCTGACTTTCAAATGTTGGCTTATGGGTTTAGAAAGCACAGCTGTCCCAAGGAGACAATGAAAAAGGACACTAACATGAAGACAGAATTATAGAGCAGTGAATCACGCAGAGGGCTCAGCACAAGCATGTGCCATGGTAGTTAGTTCCTTTTCTTCCCAAAGGGATTAAGACCCCTAGAAGCTGGCATGGCCTCAGCATAGTCATGGACAATTAGGGCGTTGTTCAGATATCCATAGATAAGAATGCAACTGGCTTTAGATTGAAACTCTCTCCAAAGCTTTTTAGCTTTATGATCTATTAGCATGCATATAATTATATAAACCAGATTGGGTGGGTGGGTGGGTGGGGAATCAAGGAGCCTCATGGATTTGCTTCCTCCAGCATTCACTTCTTGCACATTACATATTTTGAATAGTTTCCCATCCTTACCCTTATATTCACCCCTGTCCTCGAGTTACTGCACAGCTGGCAACTTGGAGGGCAGTGCAGAAATGCAAATAGCATTTAATAGAGTGCCTGCTATTAACTAGGGATTGCACTGAACATATTGTGTAGCATTATTTCATTCTATTTCACAATAACCGTTTGCTTCTTCTTCATATAGATAAAGACACTGAGGCTCCAGGAAGATGATACATTATTCCAGATTATTTATAAAATATAATAAAACTGGAGTTTATGTGAAATTTATGTTTTACGTTTCTTCATGCTATCTTTGTACTTGTTTTAGGTACTGTTGAGTTGGTGCCAACTCATAGCAATCATATTTATGCACAACAGAGAGAAACACTGCCTCGTCCTGGGCCATCTCACAATCTTTCCTATGTTTGAGTCCATGGTTGTGGCCACTGTGCCAATCCATGTCATTAAAGATCTTCCTCTTTTTTTGCAGACTCTTTATTTTACCATTTTCTCTGGGGATAGTTCCTCCTGATACCATGTCCAAAATATCTGGGACAAAGTCTTGCCATCCTCGATCCTAAGGAGCAGCTTTGTACTAGTGGTGGTTCTATGTGCTGTGGAGTCGGTTCCGATTTATAGCAACCCTGCATAGGGTTTCCGAGGCTGTAAATCTTTACAGGAGCAGAAAGCCTCATCTTTCGTCCCCCGGAATCACTGGTAGTTTTGAACTGATGACCTTAAAATTGGCAGCCCAATTTGTAACCACTACGCTACCAGAGCTCCTTAGTTTTGTACTAGCATATGGTAATCTGATTCTGTAAAGAATGGTATCTTTATCTGGTGGATGCTAATGGCCATCAGAAGAGAGAATGATGTGCCAAGGGTGAAAGAAAAAGGAGATACCTTTGCTTTGCTCCAAATAATGACAACCTTACATTTGTATTGTGCTTCATGGCTTCCAAAACACTTCATGCAAACTTCCCTTTTTACAGATAAGAATAGAGTGCCTCAGAGTTTAATTCAAGGTCACAGTCAATAAATGGCAAAACTGTGACTCAAATGCTGAACTTCTGACTTTAACTTCAATTCTAGTGCTGCATACTACCATTCACCTGCTTGTTGTTGTTGATAAGTGTCGTCAAGTTGGTTCCGACCCATAGCAACCCTGTATAGGGTTTCTGAGAAGCAACTGGTGAGCTTGAACCACCAACCTTGTGATTCAAACCGACTTCGCAGTACAGCACATTAACTCACAGGAAGGGCCAGGGTTGGGGTCTGTGTGAATGTTGTGTGCATATGGTGCTTCTGATCAGACTTGATAGTTACCCATCAAGGCATCCTTCCAATGTTACCCACTTTGGATATCAGTGAGGACACTACCTTCCTAATCGCTTAGTAGAATCACTGAGCAATGAATGATTGCTATTTGACTGAATCAACGTAAGATTGGATCTTGGATTTGTATAGTCTTTGATGCCCAAGTCACACAAACCCAGGAATAGAGGTATTTCCTGAAAGCCCCCATGCTCTGGGTTTTCATGTAGAAAAGTAACAGAGTTGATGGGTACAAAGACCCTGGTGACAGGAAAGAAAACTCTCATCTACTCAGCACCTGGATTTTGTACATTCCGGGTATTCCATGGGAAAGAAAAAACCAAGATAATTTGGAAAATGACAACTTGTCTGTAGCATCCTAGCCCAGCTTCTTTCTGTAAGAGGTTGCCTAATGCCTTGCATTCTGTGCATGCTCTGCAGTGTCTTTCCTCCACTTAGTGAACTCCTTCCAGGGGTAGAGGGACAAGCAACAGAACTCTGAGGCTGGCACTGAGGGGCTTCCACACTCTCTAAATCCACCAGGGCAGCAACTTGCACAGGCCGGAATGGTAGCCAGCCTCCCTTGGGTCTGTCCAGAACAGGAAACAGCCCTCTGCAGAAAGTCTTTTTCAGATTGAGAAAGCAAAATCATGATCTCTTCTTTTGATGATTTTACAAAAATCAAAATGTGTGACAGATGCCCAGATAAACAGGAGAAGTTTGCAATCAAAGCAAGTTCTGGGATAGAGCTGATTGGCAAATTTTTAATAGCTATTAGCTTGATAATCACTCACCAGGAGTAGCTTCCAGGCAGACCAAACCCATGCATAAGTGCACCCACACCCAAGTACACCAACACCTACTTGATGGATATATAAGGGGACCCTGACATTCTCCTCACAGCAGAGTTGAGTCTCAGCCTTAATTCTTCTCAGGAGCTCTCTACTTTCCTTCCTGGGCAAGGCATCATGAGTTGTCAGATCTCGTGCAAATCTCGTGGAAAAGGAGGACGAGGAGGTGGAGGAGGATTCCGGGGCTTCAGCAGCGGGTCTGCTGTGGTCTCCAGTGGGAGCCGGCGATCGGGCACCAGCTTCTCCTGCTTGAGCCGCCATGGTGGCGGTGGAGGGGGCCAATGTGGAGCCAGTATGAGCAGCCGGAGTCTTATTGGCCTTGGAGGATCCAGGAGCATCTCCAGTAGTGTGGCTGGAGGAGGTGGAAGCTACGGCTCCAGTGGTGGATTTGGTGGCAGAGGAGGTGGCTTTGGAGGAGGCAGTGGCTTTGGAGGAGGCAGCGGCTTTGGAGGAGGCAGCGGCTTTGGAGGAGGCAGCGGCTTTGGAGGAGGCAGCGGCTTTGGAGGTGGTGGTTTTGGTGGAGGCAGCATTGGCGGAGGCCGCCTTGGAGGAGGTGGTGGCTTTGGAGGCTTTGGGGGGCCTGGTGGCTTTGGGCCTGGAGGACTCCCTGGTGGAGGCATTCATGAAGTCTCCATCAACCAGAGCCTCCTACAGCCTCTCGACGTGAAAGTTGATCCCGAGATTCAGAATGTAAAATCTCAGGAGCGGGAGCAGATCAAAACACTCAACGACAAATTTGCCTCCTTCATTGACAAGGTGAGTCAGGAGAAGAAAATGGCTACTTCTGATGCTCAGATGTCCTGGTTCCAGTGCTGATCAAAGAGGAAGCAACAGATTTGTTTGATTTAGGAGCCATTGGTGTAGCAGCCATGGGTTGCACTGGTTTATTTGCTATTTCCAATTGGAGAGACGCTGGCATTTGTCTGCTACTATTTCTAGAACAGTCAGCATTTAGGAATTATTTTGATCTTTTGGCATTATTGTTCCAGTCCAAAAAAATAATATGTATGGGAAAATTTGAAAGCCATAAGAGCACATATAGACCAATAATGGACTAAGTTGTGCAATGTGACATCTAATTTTGGAAGGGATTGGCAAGATGTCTTCTGAGATAGTTTTTCTTCCTTAGAAATTATTAATGTATTAGAATCTGGGAAGCTGAACCTGCTTGGGGATGAAGATCCATTTAGGGGCGAATAATATTTCTGACTTCAAGAGAAGCATTCTCGGTCTTGTGCCCATAAAGTCTTTATTGCTGTCACTTTGGAGTGTTACTGGCTTTTCTGCTAGCTATTTCAAGGCAGGTGAACCTGTCTAAGGAATTTATGAGCTCTTAAAAATCAGGTCGAGGAGACCTGCCCTCTAGTACTCCCATACTCCATGTTCCTGGGAGCAGTGCCAGCAAAGTCTGCTTTTGGTTTTCCCCAGAATTTATGGGATCTTTGCCGGGGATTCATTTAGGATAGGGGAGGGAAATGGCCTGGAAGCTTGGGAGCAGCTGCAAAATAAAACAAGACAAAACAGAAGCAGAAAAGAACGTTCTCTACATGGAAAAGGCCAGATGTAGCATTGAGAGTCTGTAGAACTTTCCAAGTATGCAAGCAGGTAGATCAGGAGCTCTGCCTGACATGATCTGGCACTAGCTGATCAGAATGGAGTCCCCTAGCTTCTCTAATTCTTGAAGCAAGACCAGAGCTGATTCTGGGCAATGGGACTTGCTGAGCTGTTGAGTGCTTCTCAAAGCTCATGAACTTTCCTTCTGGTCTTGGTAGGTACGATTCCTGGAACAACAGAACCAGGTACTGAAGACTAAATGGGAGCTGCTGCAGCAAATGGATGTTAGCACCCGCACCACTAACCTGGAGCCCATCTACGAAGCATATATTGCCAACCTGAAGACATACGTGGATGGTCTCTCCACGGAAAAGGCATCACAAGATTCTGAGCTGAGCACCATGCAAGATCTTGTTGAGGATTTTAGGAAGAAGTAGGTGACAGTGTAAATTCTGAGGGGAGATACATGTTCCTGAGCCATCTGAGCATTCTCCCAGAAAGTCACTGTCTTCCAATTGTACTTTTGGTGACAAAGGGTTCTGTATTTTTATAGATTATTTGTAAAGGTATTTAGGGCTTTAGAGATGATACTTTTGACACGTTTGAAAATCAATGAATACAAAACAATACTTAAATCACAGTTTTAATTTATACATTTAAAGAGTACTTAAAATTCCCTAAGAATTGGGTATTTTGGGTGAATCCAGTAGGAAAAAGTTAAAAAAGAAAAAAAAAAATTAGACTGTACCTAACAGCTATATCCTTTGGGTGTCAACAGATATGAGGATGAAATCAACAAGCGCACAGCTGCTGAGAATGACTTTGTAACACTTAAAAAGGTGAGCAAGAGTCTGCCCATGGCTGGGGGGTGAGTGACTCAGGGTGTTTCAGAAACCTATGTGTCCAAATGAACAAGTTAGAAAACAGCTATGTGTGAACACAGCAGTAGCTAGAGAAAGAGGGGGAAACACATCTATGGCTGGGTCTTGTGAAACCAAGGTGTCTCTGTAGTTCAAGCTTCTGGTGGCAATTTTTAAAAATGTTCTGCAAGTTTGCTAGAGCATTCCTTATTTATAATCTACTTAAGGTCTATATTGGATCATAAAAGTTGCAAACACATTCTTCTTCTAAAGAGGTGAGGAAGGAATGGAACCTCTTTAGAATGGCTTCTGTCGTAGTACAGACAGAAGTTTAAGCTAGAAGGCCAAAAGTGTAGGTTCTCAGCCTGGTTCCCATGAAGGATTTGGTGTATAATTTAGAGAAATTCAGGAGAGATGGGATGGGCATACAGGATGGAAGAGTAGAGAGCTAGGGAACTGACAGAGGCTGTAAATAGCAATTAGTGGGAAAACACAGGGTCTCAGGCAGAAGGGAGAGAATGAGTGGCAAAGCTTGGACCTAGCAGATCCCTGATGGTTCTGGGAGTTGTCAGCAGTGGGCCTGGGTGTGAATCCTCCCAACAGAGGTGCATTGTGGCCCCTTGGTCGCATGGCTCACAGGAGATGCCTGGGATTAGGGTAGAGAAGAGTAGCCAAGAGAGGGCAGGGCCCATGCCAGAAATGATAGAGGTGAGGGAAGGTGAAATGAGTCTCATCAGCGGCCCGGCCTATCCCTGCAGGATGTGGACAGTGCCTACATGATCAAAGTAGAACTGCAGGCCAAGGTGGATGCACTCAAACAGGAACTGGAGTTCTTGAAAATCCTATATGATGCGGTAAGGAGGCTGTCTTCCCATCCTTCGTTTGCAAGGTGGAATGAATGGGGTTCATGGACCAACTTATTTCAACTTGCCATTATTCCAGGCCACTGTGTGTATGTGGGGGTACTTCTTTAATATAGGCTTTTGGGGAAAGTTAACTTTTCCTTCTGATTATTAGAGGATGTAGGACTCAGAAAAGATCAGGAAAACCTCCTCACACTTCACCCCACAACACTCAGCATTCCTTGGAAAGAAGCCTGCTCTGTTCCCATATTCATGCCAATATACTTCAGGGATCAAAATTTATTATTATCTTTCCCCAACCCCAGCACACACATGTGACTTTTGAAACAGGAAGTAACCTTGAAGGCATTTTGTTATCCACAGGAGACACTTACCAAAACTGGCAGAAGTGTTAACTAGGAGGCTCAGAAATATAGACTCTCCTTCCTCTGGTTCCCTTGGCCCCAAATGGTGGTTATGTCATTTTTAATCCCACCCAGTGTATGCTTAGTTTAAGAGTCTGTGTGTTTTCATAAACACCAGGGTAGGGGATGCCCTCTCCTTGCTTTGCTTTATGCTAATGAGCAGGGAAATCATAGCCAATCTCCCTGTGTGTTTAGGAGCTGTCCCAGATGCAGCAGAGCATCACTGACACCAATGTCGTTCTGTCCATGGACAACAACCGCAACCTGGACCTGGACAGCATCATCAGTGAGGTCCGGAATCAGTACGAGGAAATTGCCTTGAGGAGCAAGGCTGAGGCTGAGGAGCTATACCACAGCAAGGTAGGTATTGGGAGAGCAGATCCACAATTCCTTAGAATAATCTGGGTTTTCACCTGTGGTTAGGAAATGCACAATAAGATTTTAGGTGCTTTTGTCTAATAAAGGTTAGGTGTCAGTCCTAGCAAAGTGTCCACAAGACTCTAAATGCCCCCAATCAAGAGTGCCATCAGGTCCTTATTGGACGTGAGATAGTCTGCTCACCTCCCATGACATTAGCTTGGTTGACCCTCCCTGGACCATGGTCTGCCTTCTCTTGGTTCAAGTCAAAATTTTCCCCAAACTGGTACCCACTGATGAACTGTCTTCCTCCCCAACATCAGTACGAAGAGCTCCAGGTGACTGCTGGCAAACATGGAGACGGCCTGAAAGAAGTCAAGATGGAGATCAGTGAGCTGAATCGCATGATCCAGAGACTGCAAGGGGAAATCTCCCACGTCAAGAAGCAGGTAAGGACCTGTCCTTAAGATTGGTCCAGCTTGATGGGTTAAAGGGCAGGACCTGGAGGAAGTGGTAGAAGGTTGTGTATATGTGTGTGGAAATGTATGTGAGAGAGAACGTATGAATGTGTATGGAAAACTGTGTCTGAGAATGTAAAAGTATGAGTGTGTATGTGAGAGAGAGAAAAAAGAGAAAATACGAGTTCTAATTTAGTATTATTGATCCCAAATATCTCAAGCTTAACATAATTATCAAGTTTATAACAATTTTTAGAGTGGTCTAAAAGATCCCCTAATGTGAGAATTACTTTAGAGAAGAATTGTGTTCATTTTTGAGTTCATATGAATGCAAAGGAGCAATACCAGACAAAGCGAACATGAGTGTGACTTGTTGTGGATGGCACCCCATTCAGCTTGGCACAGGCCCCAAGTAAATATTTGTGGGAGTTGGCCTGGGATAAACCATTAGCTTTCTTTTACATAATGTGGGGTACAGACTTGACACCATAGGCAACGGACTTTTTGTGAAGCAGTCAGCATAGAATGTTTTCATTTGCATCTATAAAAATGGTATAATGATGCTGGCTCTGTGTCGTGGGTACCCAAAGGAATTATGGGCAGTGTTTTAGAGTTCAGTCAAAGGAAACATGAGGAGATAATGCCCCAAAGACAGTAGCAAGTCTTAGCACAGTTGTTTGTGACCTGCATTAACTGCAAAGGGAACCTCATCCCTCCTGGCTCTGGTGAGCCTGGCCTTCCACATCCTGAATTCCTTTGCTCCCTCTCTCCCTACCTGTGCAGACTCTACTCTTTCTGCACACACAGAAAGCCTCCTTCCTTCTCTCATAGTGTAAGAGTATGCAGGATGCCATCGCAGATGCTGAGCAGAAGGGAGAAAATGCCCTCAAAGATGCCAACAGCAAACTTTCACACCTGGAGGAGGCCCTGCAGCAGGCTAGGGAGGACCTGGCCCGACTGCTGCGTGACTACCAGGAGCTCATGAACACCAAACTGTCCCTGGATGTGGAGATTGCCACCTACCGCAAGCTGCTGGAGGGAGAGGAGTGCAGGTGAGGGATGGCTGGGAGGGGAAAAGGGTAGTACTCTGACCCTCTTTCTTTCCTTCCAGAACCAGGGCAGGAGGCAAAGGTAGGGAAAACAGAAGGCAGTAAAGGACCTTCTGAAGGCTGAGAGCTTAAGTTCACTACATCCCCAAGCAAGGCATTTTCTCAGTGCAGCCTCATTTGAAAATTTCTGGTGTGACATGGATTCTGAATATTAATGTCACACTGTAGATAAGCGCTGGACCAGTAACCACAAGGTCGGCAGCTCAAACCCACCAGTGGCTCTGCAGGAAAAAGATAAGGCTATCTGGTCCCATAAAGATTTACAGTCTCGGAAACCCTACATGGGGTTGCTACGATTCAGAATGGACTCAGTGGCAGCAGGCTTAGTTTAGTTTAAGATAGATTTAAATACAACAGGCATCACAAAGTCAGAAGTGAACTTGGGCTTAATTCATTTTGGATCAACAATATAACTTTTCATTTTTATCAGAGGCAAAAAAAAAAAAAAAAGAGATGATTGAATATGCAAGAATTACATAAATGTGGGGGGTTGTCCTCACTTTTGTGATCTGGCAGCATAAAAGTATGTGGGGTCTGTATGAACTTGGTGGTGATGGTCGTGTGTCACCAACTAGGTTCCAACTCACAGCGACCCTGTATAGGGTTTTTGAGACTGTAAATCTTTGCAGGAACAGAGGGCTTCCTTCATCTTTCTCTCAGAATTGAACTAGTGACCTTATAGTTAGCAGCACAGCTCATAATCCACTACTTTGCCAGGGTTCCTTTGTCAGGACCTGGTGGCCAATTTTAGTGGCTAAACCATATGTTTGTTGTTGTTGTTGTTATGTGCCATGGTTGTTTGTAGGTGAACATTGACAAATGGCATGCACATAGAACTAAGTGCTTTCCCACAATTGTTTTCTCTCTGTCCCTTACAGAATGTCTGGAGACATCACCAGCAACGTGACTGTGTGTAAGTAGCAGAGAGCAATATTATCTTAGGGTGCAATGTGTGGTGTGGAGGCCAAAGGAGGCAGACCAAGGCATTCACAACTTTCTAATGTGGTCTCTCTCTGCAGCTGTGACAAGCAGCACTGTTTCTTCAAATGCGTCATCCAGGACTGGCTTTGGAGGTCAAGGATCTGGAGGAAGAGGGTCCAGTTCTGGAGGAGGAGGATACAGCTCTGGAAGTGGCAGCCACAGCTCTGGAGGCAGAAGGTCTAGCTCCAGAGGTGGCAGTGGAGGCGGCTATGGCTCTGGAGGTGGCTCCATAGGAGGTTCTGGCTCCGGAGGAGGATATGGCTCTGGAGGTGGCTCCATAGGAGGCTCTGGTTCTGGAGGTGGATACAGCTCTGGAGGTGGCTCTAGAATAGGCTCTGGCTCCAGAGGAGGTTCTGGCTCTGGAGGTGGATCTAGAGGAGGCTCTAGCTCTGAAAAGGGTGGTACTGGCTCAGGTGAAAGTTGTGGTTCCAGTGTGACCTTTGCTTTCAGATAAAAATGAGGTCTTCCTCTCTGATTCTCCCACTCCAGAATATAGTATCTGTCGCCATTCCTCTATTGACAGCAAGTCAAATTTTGTCATCTTTCTCTGATGACATTTTGGGGAAAGCGATTATTACATGGAATTTTGGAATATCGTCTCTCCAAACAAATGAATCAGAGCCAGTGACATCACCTGTCCCTTGGGGAAGAATCTTTCAGCCACGTCCTATTTCCTTCCTTGCATTGCCCATTTGGTGGTCCTTTTCTAGACAGATATTCTGTTGAGGATCCCAGGGAAGCCTGTTGATTTCATCTCAAACCATGCACAATTTCCCTGGAAGTGCCCCATTGGAAGCATGCTTCTTCTGTATATAACTCATCTTGTTGACTTTGCTGCTTAATGTGTTGTGGTCTTGGTGTCTGCACAATAAACTTCATTTGCAATTCATATTATGTGATGTCTGTTTAATGCCAAGCTTTGGTACAAGTATCCCAAATCCCCAAATAAAATCCACTGCTGTTGAGTTAATTTGGACTCACAGTGACCATATAGGATAGTCTTGGTGTGGTGCTGTAGGATAAGCACTTGACCTCAAGGATGATTTGAACCACCAGGTCAGTGGTTCAAACTGACCAGCTGCTCCTCAGAAACCCTACACAGGGTCTCTATGAGTCGGAACTGACTTGATGGCACTTAACAACTATTTGAAATAGATATGTCACTAAAGAATAGATACTGATTATTTATGGCAAATAAACACATGATAGGATGTCCCACATCATTAGTTACTTGTTATTATTAAGTGCTGTCGAGTTGGTTCTGACTCATAGCGACCCTATATAGAGTATCCAAGTGTTTAAATCTTCATGGGAGTACTTGGTGGCCTTGAACTGTGGACTGTGGGGCTCAAAGTCTGGTGCTTATCATAGTCACTGCATAGTCACGGGAATAAAGTTAAAGACACACCATCAATGAAAAAATCTGCACAAATGTGAGGGCATTAATTCAAGGAATACACAGACTACCAAATATTTAGAAAACTACACAAACAAAAGTAGACAAAATAGATGAGTGGGACATACTAAAAATTAAAGATTTATGTGCATCAAAAGACTTCACCAGAAGAGTAAAGAGGGAACCCACAGAATGGGAAAAATCTTTTGCAACAACACATCAGACAAGGGACTCATTTCTAAAATATGTAGGAAACTACAACACCTCTACAAGAAAAATACTAATAACCCAATTAAAAAGTGGGCACAGGACATGAACAGACACTTCACCAAGGAGGAGATCCAGGCAGCCAATAAACATATGAAGAAATGTTCACGATCGCTAGCCATTAGAGAGATGCAAATCAAAACAACAATGAGATATCATCTCACACCAGCAATAACAGCAAAGATCAAAAAAGTAGAGGATAATAAAGGCTGGCGAGGATGTGAAGAGACTAGGACGTTCCTGCACTGCTGGTGGGATTGCAAAATCGTCCAACCACTCTGGAAAACAACAAGGCACTTTCTCAGAAAGTTGGAAATAGGAATACATTATGATCCAGCAACTCCTCTA